CTTTGCTCATCCTGCTAAATTCTGTCCATAGCCTGACACCATCAGAGCCTTGTGAATCGTCAACTCTACGCTTCACCATACCAGTCGGAAACGTTTAACTGAGGTCAGAGTAGACTATGGCCATCGTCTTCAACAGCAGACTGAGATTAACGCCTGAGGCGGGATCAGACTTGATGGAGTTGCAAATATCCTTGCTAGGGCCAGGGACGATCAGATTTGGTTGATCTAATCATCGATCTAATCTTGGTCCCAATTCTGTCCTTGTCGCTTCAAGTTCCAAGTACTTATGAACTTGAGTTCCTACAACTTGCTATGCTGGATTTGGAGGTATGTGGATAATCCTATCTCGTCGACTAACTATTTGCCAGTAGAGTCTGGCCAGATGTGCATTCGTATGATCAATAAACAGGTTGCCTCCCCACCACTCACGCTTTTCGGGGCTAGCTCCCTACACGATAGGTAACTGGTGAGATGGCCGAGCGGTCCAAGGCGCCAGACTAAGGTTGGAAAATTCCTCAATCTCATCTGGTCTCTTCGGGGGCGGGAGTTCGAATCTCCCTCTCATCAATTCCAAAAGTTGTCTCGTCATTTTGTTGAGTGCGTATACGTACTCGTCTTCTTATCAAGCACTTGACCTTGGCTTGACCTTACGGAACCGATGATCTTCGTGGCGGGTTGATATTTGAATCTCCCTCCTTCTTGACATCCGATCTTTCTGAAGAATTTTTCTTGTAGTATATGTACAGTACTACAAGTAAGAATAACAGTTAGCTTGACCAGCAAATATTAGTGCTTGTTATTAGTCGTGCAAAGGTCCCTCTTTTTTTGGATGCGCACCAGGCAGTTCAAAGTTTCCGTCTTGACTTGCCACAGAAACAAGAAGTCTAAGTAAGAATCGACGAGCCGTTCTAGTCACATTTGGAGCCTATAGCCTTACGCTCGGGGAGTGATCCATTTCCCTCTCCTCATATTTCACCCCTACCTCTGTTTTGACTAGTGCAGGTTTGTGTCGATAGCGTAGGGAAATGTAATGATTCGCGTACCTCAAACTAGAACGTACGTACGCAGGGAAATATGTAATGGAAGGTACACACGATATTTGTGGGATCTAGAAAGACCCAGAACTTGCGATGAGGGTCACACCCGAGTCCGTGGTCCGTGGACAAGACTAGAGAGGTCCGGGCGCCCTTGGTGGCTGAGAGGCGGGGTGAGATCGAGGGCGCACGTATCTGTTATTCATAATGATCACAGAAGGGAAGGGGAGGAAAGAGATTTTGATTGTCATCATTACAATACAAATTATTGACCTGACCTTGCTGTAAGTAAGTAGAGGCGTGAGAGCAAGTTGGAACGTGATGGACCTGACCCGTCGTTCATGTCATTGGATAACCTGAGCGCGCGCTATCATGGGTCGTGATTGATTTGCTTGGTTCTTG